GCTTATGTTAAGGTGTTTATATCAACCGTTGCTTCATAAAAACTGCCCTTTTGTTCAACACGTCAATCACAAAAGCAAGTAATGATAAAAATGTTTTAAATCCACTTCCTCTCTCAGTTGATACACACTGGCGAGTGAGATTTCCATTTTTAAAAAGCAAGTTTCAAAATCCTTAGGGTGTCCAATTTTAGGCTTTTTGGTCCGGGGAGTGCTTTTTTTTCTACTGCAAAGTAGGAGGTGGTTAAAGAAAAATGTTTGCCTTTTTTCCAGTTGGCAACTAAGAGAATAAAGTTTGCCTTACTGAGAATGAGTACAAGCATCCTCAAGAGAAAAATTCCTATCAACAAGAAAACTAGAGGAAGTTTCAGCAGGAAATCAGGGTAAACGGAGACGGCTGTAAAGATCAAAAGAGGTTAATCGAAGGGGGGTCGGAGGGACAGGAAACACGAGAAGGAAAGTGTGGGACAAAAAGGTAAGCCGAGTTCTAAAAAAAGGTTTGAATGAAAAAATATTTTCTCCAGGCCTAAGACTCACACAGGGCCCGTGGCGAGGCCAAGGGCCACGCTGTGGTGTAGTTGAGGTGAAAGGATTTTAGAGGGTTGAGCCCCGTCTTCCTCCACCTTGTCCTGTCACGGCCCGGGTCTCAGTCCCTAAGCATTTGGTGTGCGCCAAAAGGAACCACGATATCTCGGCGTCCACGGAGAACAATAGGCTGGGGAGCGGCGCCGGGCCGAGGCCTCCCTCCGGGACGACCACCATCCCGCCTCCCTCAACGCTGCCCCAGACTCACAGAGTCTTAGGCATCTCGTCCTCCATGGCTGCTGTAGTCGCGGCGGCGCCTCCAGGTCCAGCTCTCTACCCTTCCCTACTTCCCAAATCTTTTGAGCTGCTATGACTGCGAAATAGCGGGGTTTCTCGGCTGACTAGAGGCTACTCCGCCTCCTTGTACGGCGGCAATTACACTAAACCACCCGGCTCAGCGTGAACAATGAAGCCACAATACAAGATGGCGGCGAGCTGAGAGTTTAGGAACACCCAGCGAAGTGACTCCGGCTGCGCACGCGCAGAATGATCTTGGCTCTTTCAACCTTCCGGCCGCCCGGCTACACCTCAATCCGTAGGTTCACTTGTTGCGCAGCCGCTCTTCCACCCCAGGCTAGGGATGTTTCAGACTGCGCAGGCGTAAAGGTCAACTGTTTCAGGATGTGAGTCAACTTTCTTTTCCAGCTCCAGATTCCAATGTTTCAACACTGAATTCTGAAATGGGAATTTTCATGGAAATTAAGCTTCTAAGTATTTCCTGAGGAAGAAAGATTGCTGACAACTTCTTCAAGTCATCTCATTTTATTGGTGACGAGAACTAAAAGCATCTGCGCCGCCCGGGAATCGAACCCGGGTCGCAAGAATGGGAATCTTGCATGATACCACTACACCAGCGGCGCTGTTGGTACTTACTTGAATTGAAATATTTTAGGACTAAATGCACGCAAACATTCGTTCCTCAGGACTATGATTTGTTTAATTATTTAAAAATAAGTTTTTGAGAGCGTATAATATGCTACTTTTTATTGACACGTATTTGCTACTTTATATTGACATGATGTATCTTTTCTCATTCCAATACAGTTGAATGTTTCTACTTCTGTAAAGAAAAATCGTAATTTAAAAAATTTACTTAAAAACATGAGTTTCATTAAAAAGAATTTGTCTTGGTGTTAATCAACTTTTTGAGAGCCAGGGAAATATTTCCAGATACTGTCGAATTTTTCTTTATGTTTGCATTTCCTTGTTGAACTCAATGTACATTTGAAAATATTTGAGAAAATAATTATTAAATGCTTATAATAATAATAATAAATAGCTATTAAATAGCTCAGAGGAATCCTAATGCCAGAAGAGTCAGAAATTATATTTCTTGGAGAGGCCTTCTTGGAGAGGGGCAGAAAAATTAGAGCTCTGAAATGTAATTCAATGTACTCTTTATGCATTTTGCATTACATCTTTTAAGTTATGCGAAATACTTCTTAAATGTAGGAGAATGTGCACATCCAAAAATGTTATGTCCTCTCCAGTAGCTTGTTTAGGCTGTGGGACTTCTGGATTTCCATTTTTGGAGTTGTGTAGAATCAGCGGCACATTCTTCTAATTTTTTTCAAAGCTATCAAATATTAGTCTTTTGAAGAGGAGTAACACAGATGTTAATACCAGATAGCATTTTTTAACAGCATTTTGAGATATAATTCACGTAATACACAATGCACTCACATAAAGTGTATGAGGCAGTGGTTTTTAATGGATTCACAAAAATGTAGCCATCACTATAATCAATTTTAGGACATTTTCATTATCCTAAAAAAGAAACCCTTACCAATTAGCAGTCACTCCCTATTCACCATTCCACCCCACTCCCCAACCCACTAACCCATCAATTAGGCTCCTACACTCCCACAGAGAATGGAAGATGGGGTCTCTCTTGTCATGGGTTGGCTGGGAGAAACAGTAAAATCTGTGGCAGCCTTGAGTTTCTTCAGTTACTTTAAGGGGAGTTAGGCTCATCCCAAGGTTGTAGCTTTGAGCTGTTAGAAATTAGGTAGGGGGTAGGTTCAAGTCTTTAGAGGCCAGAGGTTGAGGCCTAGTCCAGAAGAGTGTTCAGAGAAGCCTGACTGTTTGTTTGGTTAAGAAGAGAATCTTAGTGTTCAGCTTCCCAGGGGGACTGCGTTTTTGAGGAACACTCCTTTGAATAAGTGTTTGTTATATTATCTTGTTATTTACCTTATTATTACTCTTGTATATGTGGTGATGATGCTGGGGTTGTTTGCAGAGTCGAAGGATGAACTTAGCAAACAGTCAAGGTAGGAGAGCTAGGGAGACTTTTATTGAGAGATACAGTGAGAGGACAGATAGAGCTCCTGGCTCACGCCAGGAGGGGACAAGAGAGTCTGTAGTGGTGTGTTGTAGTAGTCCCTGAATATTAAAAATTAACTTAACACAAGAAATTTACTGCTCTGATTTCTCCCTGGGATACTGGCGTCTTGGTCTAGGAGCATATCAAAAGGCTGCCTGCCCAGCTCCCAAGGTGGGCTGAGGTATTTATCGTCTTTGCTAGTGAGTAAGTTAAGAATCTTACTTCTTAAACTTCTGTGGGTGTTAAAATGTAATCTTATCTTTATGGTGGAATCCTTCCTGCCTTTTACTATGTTGTTTACAGCTGGGTCTGCATGCTAAATTAGTTGACCAGTTTGCAAATCACTTCATCAGATCTGAAGGAGGAAAGACAGCACATAGGCCTAGGCCTTTTAGCATGCTGAAGTGAATCTTACACATGATTACAAATGATTAGCATAATAAAAACATGTGCTACTCTTCTTTATATGGGGAATATTAACTGATCCCACTGAAGAATAACTCTAGAGGCTAATGTTCAACACAGAGTTTTGGTAGTGGGTTTCCTTGCATGTAATTACATTGCTCTGACTGCAAATATCCTGCCTTGCTTTTTCTAGAGGCCTTCACCCTATTCTAAGTCCATGGTCCCTGTCTCTGACATTTTCCCCCCATGACATTAAAAAAAAACTTTTGAGTTATAGTGGCAGAATTCTTTTGGAAGGGTGAGAGTGCAGATGAGAAAACTTTTGATCTACCTTCTATTTTGCAGATCTTTAACACTGTCTCTTCACTAAGTGTCCTTTTGGTGAGCTTTTTCCCCAAGGTTTCAGTAGTAGAAATCAAAGTTTCCAAATATGACACTTGTGTCATGGTCAATAATGTGATCAATTCTAATCAACCAACAAGTATTTATTAAGGGCCTAGTAGACTTAATACACTGAGGTGTGGTGAGTAAAATATAGTTTGGAAAAAGGAAAGTAAAAGACACATAGTTCAGTTCTTTCTTTGTAATTTCTCAATGTTGTGAAAAAGGGGTCATAATCTTCATATTTTATATTATTAAGTAGATGTGTTTATTTTTCCTATGATTTGTGTCTTGTTCCAGTAACACATCCACTCCCCTTTTTCACTCTGCAATGCTGCCTCCTTGCTGTTCCTCAAACATGCCAAGGCATTCTTCTTGCCTAGAAAGCTCTTTCCCCATTTATTTGCCTGGCCCACTCCCTCACTCCCTGCAAGCTTTTGCTCCAATGCCATCCTACTCAATGAGGCCTACCCAGACCATCTTATTTAAAATTGCAACCCATTCCCCAGTCCTCTTACTTCATTCTATATCTTACATCATTTACTTATTTATGCTAATTATCATGTCTTCTTCCACTAGAATGTCAACTTAATTAGAATAAATATTTTAAAAAGTTTTTGTTCACTGATTTTTCTCAAGCTTCTAGAATATTGCCAGCCACTTGAAAGGAACTCAATAAATATTTGTCCAATGAATGAATGAACGCTTTTTGCACTGGATTTTCTACTTTTCAAGTTCAGCCTTTCTTTCTGTCCAATTTACTACCCCTTCATCCATACTGTTCTTCATGCTCATATACTGGTTTTTCTTTTCTTTTCTTGGGGGTGGGTGGGGTATTTTAATTACAGAAATGGGATCATATAATGCCTATCACTCATCTACCAGCTTTTCTCACCTAACAATCCTAAGACATTATAGATCCCACATTCTTTTTAATACTTGCATAATTTTCCATCACAGGATATGGGTACATACTTTTATTCATTCATTGCATTTCACCTTGGCCACCAATCCCCGGTCTCCCTCATTTTTCTTTTCATCTAGCACCATTTACCCATTTGTCTCGTACCCAACAGTCCCCGGAACACAGTGATCCCTCAATAGGTATTTGCTGCTCTACTGGTCTGTTTCGACAGCGATTAGCTATGTGCTTTCTTTGAGAAAAAGCGATCATAGGGACAGAAAAGGGCACTAATGAAGAACTAAGTTGTTTCACCTGAATAGATGAGGAAGGAGGCGAGCTACGGCAAGCCTCCGCTTCCGGAGCCTTTGGTGTCTCCCTGGAGGGGCGGGGCAGGGCGGGCTTCAGGGACCGAGCGGACCAGGTTGGGAACTGCTGGAAGGACAGGCGGACACGCGGCGACAGGGGCCTGAGCGGGCGGAGCAGGCGGGGCTCAGCGGGGCAGGCCGGCGGCGGAGCTGGGGGTTGGGACGGACAGAGCGCGCAGCCGTGCGGGCTGTCGGGAGCTCCGTGGGTGGCTGCTGCGCTCGGGGAGCCATGGGGTGCACTGCTGGGGAGCTCGTCTCGTTGCTTCTCGGTCTGGGGCTGCTGCTGTGCAGCTGGGTGTGCCCCGGGAGCGCGGAGCTGCGGGCCCCACCGGATAAGATCGGTAGGCGAGAAGGGGGCGGTGCAGAACGGGATTCGGATCGCGCTCCGCGCTGGGCAGCCGCTGCGAGATACACGCAGGCCTGGCAGTCACGGCGCCCACCTGGAGGCGAGGGCCTAGCCCTCCGCGCGGGTCACGCTTTTCCCGGTGTTCTCCTCGGGGTAGCCTTCGGTGCCCTAGGGACGTGCCTTCCCGGGCGTGTCGATATGTCCACTTGAGGAATGGGTCTGGGTGGTGGAGGGGAGACCAGGGCGGGCGCGCGGCCACCCAGCGTCCCTGCAAACCCCTGTCTTGGAGGCCTGGGGTTCCGGGGAGGCCGAGGCCGCTCTGGGCGCCGTCCTTTGCTGCACCTTTTGGAGGCTAGCCTTCTCGTGCGTCCTGGAGTGACTGGCCCATTCTGTTCTGCAGATGGCAGGAGCACGCGGGCACAGCTCACCGAGCACTGCAGACAAGCTGATCCAGTCTTCTTCCCTTGATAGGCGATAACACTCTTCCCCGCCCCGCCCGCTTTGCTGAGGTCGGCCGGCTCTCAGGAGGCCCCTGGCTTGCACAATTTCTCTGCCTAGAACTACTGCACAGCCCAAATAATCCACTGCCTTTCTAGTTTCAGCCTTGTTTTTCTGCTCCCTGTTTTGGTTTGCTTTGTTTTTTATTCCCATTAAAGCTGTGTTCTTTGGGTTCATTATCTATACTGAGAACAAATCTAGGCAAAAATGGCGGCCACTTTATTTAAAATGCGTGCTGGAAATTCGTGCCCACCTCTTCTTTTCCTATGGTTTGGGCACAAAGGGGAGTGTGCAGGCCCGCTAGTGCCTTGACAAAAAGCTATGAAAACCTTTGGACATCTGGTAAAAAAAATTTCATGTCAGTTTGTAAGTTAATTTACTACCACTTTTATCTGGGGCAGTGTCTGTCCAACTGTCACTTGCCTCCGCCTCTCCCGAGCTTTCCTAAATTACTAATAGGCTAACGCAACATCTGCTATTGTTGATGACCTTTCAAAAAAAAAGCAAAACCCACAAAGCTGGTAAGAGGGAAACTCTTCATATCCCCCCTAGCAATTATTGGAGCTGGAATCGGTGGCACGTCAGCAGCCTATTATCTGCGGCAGAAATTTGGGAAAGATGTGAAGATTGATCTGTTTGAAAGAGGAGAGGTGGGGGGCCGTCTGGCCACCATGACTGTGAGGGGGCAAGAATACGAGGGAGGAGGTTCTGTCATCCATCCTTTAAATCTGCACATGAAGCGTTTTGTCAAGGACCTGGGTAAGTAATTTGGTCTTGGAGCCAAGTAGCTTTCAGTGTGACCGTCAACAGATATTTGTATCAGCTAGGGAACTGAAACTTTTCCTCCTTGTTAATTGTCTTATACAAAGAAGTTGGTAAAGCTGTTTTCCTCACTTTTTTGCTAGCAACTGGTACTGTCTTAGTTAGGAACCACTCTCCTGTAATGGGACACTAGTTATTTTTATCTTCACTTATCTGGAATTACAGCCATGGGGTTGGGGTGGAGATGGTTGCTGTTATCAGTTGTTAAACTTCTGGCTTTTGAAGTATCAAAGATTTGGGTTTGCAGAGATCTACTGTGCTCATTTTATAGCTGGAGCAATGAGGCCCAGAGGCTTGAAGTGTCTGGCTTAAGGTTACACAGCTAATAGGTACAGACATGTGCCTAGAACCTGGGACATCTGACTGCTTTCCTACTAGCAGAGGAGCTGGATACGTTGTGGAAGTCTGGCAGGCCTCTGCAGGCCCTTTTCTCAGGGAATATTGTGTAATTTTTTAGCTTCTTTCCAGTTATCTGAAATACCTGGTTACACAAAATAGGATTTGCACAGAAACGAGGATGCCTCCTTTCCCTTATCTGCTTTCCGTATTTCCTCTGGATGTGTCCTGGGCCTCTCCACTATGAGGGCACGTATATATGCCAGGAGCAATTTATACTGCAAAGATTCATGACCTTTATGTTTTTAAGTTGAATTCATTGGTACTTTGGCTTTTCCCTTGTGATTTTTTTAGTCTTCTTAGACTGAAAGTAGCCAGTCTAATTCTTTTGATGTATCTGCATGATCCTTTGACCCATCTTTTAGAGAATCTGCTTTTAGGCAGCTAGTGAGTGTATATAATGTATCACATACTGTTCTAAAGACAGAGCTCCTCATCTTACTACGCTGATGGACGGTGACTGCAATGGGTGTGTGTGGGGGACTTGATAACATGGGTGAATGTAGTAACCACAATGTTGCTCATGTGAAACCTTCATAAGATTGTATATCAATGATACCTTAGAAAAAAAAAAGAGGTCGTTTAATAAGTCACCTGACAATGGTGGGAAGCCTGGAATTAACTCACTTCAGAGAGTCCCCAGTAGCTTCAGATTACATTCTGAAGTCATTGTTCATCTTAGAAACTGACTTACTACCCTTTCTCTTTTTTTTGCAGGTCTCTCAACTATTCAGAGCTATGGTGGCCTAATGGGGGTTTATAATGGAGAGACTATGGTGTTTGAGGAGAGCAGCTGGTTTATAATTAACATGATTAAACTAATTTGGCACTATGGATTTCAGCCCCTCCGAATGCACATGTGGGTAGAAGATATATTAGACAAGTTTATGAGGTAATTTTCCCCATTGATCTTAAGGAATTATAGTTTCTTGGAAAAGTTCTCTACCTAATTGCAAGGCCTGTTGGTAAATTGTTAGACAAATGTTTTGTATAAAGTATGCAGACCATTTATCCACTTGGAAATTGAAAGGGTAGTTTATTTTTACTTCTGAAATGTATTTTGTAAATGCTTATTTAGTGTTACCAGACACTCTTAAATGCTCTACAAATATTACCTTCTTGAACGCTCATGGCCGCTCTCTCAGGTAGGCACTGTTATTAGCTTCTTTTTACAAATGTAGAAGGTGGAGGCATAGAGAGGTTTTAAGTGTGCACCTAGTAAGTGGGGGAGCTGAAGTTTCTACCCAGGCAGTCTGGCTCCAGAGTCCTCACTCTTAACTCTGCACTGTGCTGGTGTTGTGTAGTTGAATGTAGTAATGTGCACAAGAGTTTGTAGAAAGGATCAGAAAACTTCAGTGAGCTGTAATTGTGACCTGATGTTTCAGTTATCCTGAGGTATAGTATCAGTTCTATGCCCCCCAAATTTAAATTAAGATATTAAATGCCAGCACTGGGTAGTGAGAATACAGGTGCCTTTTTCTTTTTCTTCATATTTTTCTGTATTTTCAAAATTTTCTGTGTGTATGAATGTTCATTGCTTTGATAATTAGGAAAAGCAACATAAAATACCCAGTCTAACTTTGAAAGATTCAACCTATTTTTTTTTTAAGGCTGTTGGCATGTTCTAGTTTTTATGCTGTTTTATAATTTTAGATGCTGGAGAAATTAAATTTGTAAATGCCAATAATATTTCATCACTATGACTGTTCCAACATAATAAAATAATTGTTAAAAAGTTAAAATTACGTGTTATATGACCAGGTATTGACCAGGACAAGTATAAGAGTTGAGGGGGTTAAGTACACTCTAGTTTCTATAACTTATGATAGTTATGGATTTCTTTCTTTTTAAATATCATTCTTAGGTCAATTCCTTGCACAGCCTTTCCAGTTGGGTACATTAAGGTCACAGTGCAGATTGTTTTAAAGTAGGCATTAAGTCATTTATTTAATTCAAATACTGAGTGCCTGTTACGTGCCAGGCGCTATTCTAGGTCCTGAGGAGGCAGAACGTAGAATTTGTCCATGCCCTCAAAGAATATACTTTCTAATAGAGAGATAAACAATAAACCAATACCTAAGAAAATATATAGAATTTGTGTAGAGACAGCCAGGCACCTTTTAAAGAAGGAAGGTGGCATGTTGCAGCATGTTCAACAGGTAAATTAACTTCAGATGGCATCAGATGCAGCTTCCCTGTATGCTTTATTTTTCTTACCTGTTTGACATGTAGAGAATTTCCCTTTGAGAATTAAGAAATCACTTTTAAAGTGAATTCAGGGTATTACAGAACTGTGCAGAAGATCCAGTGAGGAGACCACATAGGTTATACTATTTTTGATTTTATTAAACAGTTCCCAAACTATGGAATTATTGGCCTCCCCTCCAACCCCATCTATCTTTGATATTTGATTATATAGCACTGGCCTTTGTGTTGTTTAAAGGAGCATGCATCATACATTTGTGTTTTGTTTAATAAATCAAGAGCATACAAATCTTATTTTGATAATTTTATCATATGCTATGAGATAGTTGGAGGGAAGGCTGGTATTGAGCCAGCATGTGCCAGTTAAATAGTGAAATACTGCTGGACTGGTAAAATAGCTGCTGCCTTGCATGGAATTCCCTTTCCCAGCATGGAGTCTCCACTCTGTTCCACTGTGGTAGTTAGCCTACTTTCTGTTTAATGCCGTAACCAGTTGTTAAGTAGTTGTAATATTACCCCATGTTGGAGAGACACTGGAATGTCACAAAAGCCAGGATTGGGAGCCACAGAGGTTGCCAAAGAGGAATCTGGAACAACAGATTCCCCTGCATTTTAGTAAAGCAGTTGTTCTCAATGTTGGCTGCAATTAGATTTACAAGGGAATCTTTCTAAAATAAGAATGCTGTGCTCCATCCCTATGGAATTTTGATTTCATTGTTCTGGAGTAGGGGGCCTTGTCATTGGTATTTTTAAAAGCACCTCAAGTGAATCTTACATACAGTCAGAAGAACTACTAGGTTAAAATGCACAGTTGGAGAGTATTCTGGAGCTTTTTCTTTGTTTGAACAGTGTAGAAACCTAAAGTCCTTGCTCAAAATTTTTTCCTCCTTTTTGGGATATGTATGACAGGTGCAGTTGGGTCCTCTTCAAAGTGGCTCATGTGGTCTTCCTCTTTTTTTATTTTGGTATCATTAATATAAAATCACATGAGCAACATTGTGGTTACTAGATTTCCCCCATTATCAAGTATCCCCACCACATACTCCATTACAGTCACTACTTGTCTTCTCTGTGCTATACTGCCTTCCCCGAGCCCCCCACCTACATTATGGGTGCTAATCGTAATGCCCCTTATTCCCCTTATCCCTCCTTCCCATCCACTGTCCCCCAACCCCTTTCCACCCACCCTCCCCAACCCCTTTCCATTTGGTAACTGTTAGTCCGTTCTTGGGTTCTATGAGTCTGCTGCTGTTTTGTTCCTTCAGTTTTTGCTTTGTTGTTATATTCCACAGATGAGTGAAATCATTTGGTATTTGTTTTTCTCCACCTGGCTTATTTCACTGAGCATAATACCCTCTGGCTCCATCCATGTTGTTGCAAATGGTAGGATTTGTTTTCTTCTTATGGCCGAATAATATTCCATTGTGTATATGTACCACATCTTTATCCATTCATCTACTGATGGACACTTAGGTCACTTCCATTTCTTGGCTATTGTAAATAGTGCTGTGATAAACATAGGGGTGCACATGTCTTTTTCAAACTGGGATCCTATATTCTTTGAGTAAATTCCTAGGAGTGGAATTCCTGGGTCAAATGGTATTTCTATTTTTAGTAACCTCCATTTTGAGGAACCTCCATACTGCTTTCCACAATGGTTGAACTAGTTTACATTCCCACCAGCAGTGTTAGGAGGGTTCCTCTTTCTCTGCATCCTCGTCAGCATTTACTGTTCCTAGACTTTTCTATGTTAGCCATCCTAACTGGTGTGAGGTGATATCTCATTGTGATTTTAATTTGCATTTCCCTGATAATTAGCGATGTAGAGCATCTTTTCATGTGCCTGTTGGCCATCTGCATTTCTTTGGAGAAGTGTCTATTCGTATCCTCCGTCCATTTTTTAATAGGGTTACTTGCTTTTTGGGTGTTGAGGGTGTGTGATTTCTTTATATATTTTGGATGTTAAACCCTTGTTGGATATGTCATTTACAAATATATTCTCTCATACTGTAGGATGCCTTTTTGTTCTGATGGTGTCATTTGCTGTACAGAAGCTTCTTAGCATGATGTAGTCCCATTTGTTCATTTTTTTTTTTCCTTGCGTTCAGGAGATGGGTTCAGGAAAATGTTGCTCATGTTTATATTCAAGAGATTTTTGCCTATGTTTTCTTCTAAGAGTTTTATGGTTTCATGACTTACATTCAGGTCTTTAATCCATTTTGAGTTTACTTTTGTGTATGGGGTTAGGCAATAATCTAGTTTCATTCTCTTACATGTAGCTGTCCAATTTTGCCAACACCAGCTGTTGAAGAGGCTGTCATTTCCCCATTGTATGTCCATGGCTCGTTTATCGTATATTAATTGACCATATATGCTTGGGTTTATTTATTTATTTATTTATTTTTTGAGAGGGCATCTCTCATATTTATTGATCAAATGGTTGTTAACAACAATAAAATTCAGTATAGGGGGGTCAATGCTCAATGTACAATCATTAATCCATCTCAAGTCTAATTCTCGTCAGTCTCCAATCTTCTGAAGCATAACGAACAAGTTCTTACATGGTGAACGAATTCTTACATAGTGAATAAATTCTTACATGGTGAACAGTACAAGGGCATTCATCACAGAAACTTTCGGTTTTGATCACGCATTATGACCTATAAACAATCAGGTCAAATATGAATATTCGTTTGATTTTTGTACTTGATTTTTATGTTGATCCCACATTTCTCCCTTTATTATTATTATTATTTTTATTTTTAATAAAATGCTGAAGTGGTAGGTAGATGCAAGATAAAGGTAGAAAACATAGTTTAGTGCTGTAAGAGGGCAAATGTAGATGATTAGATGATCAGGTGTGTGCCTATGGACTAAGTATTAATCCAGGCTAGACAAGGGCAGCAAAACATCCACGGATGCAGAAGATTTCTCTCAAAGCAGGGGGGGTGAGGTTCTGAGCCTCCCCTCTGTTGATCCCCAAATTCTCACCTGATGGCCCCCCTGCAACTGTGCCTGTCTTAGGTTGTTCCTCCCTTGAGGAATCTTACCCGTCTCTGGCTAACCAGTCATCTTCCGGGGCCATACAGGGAGATGTAAAGTTGGTAAGTGAGAGAGAGGCAATATTGTTTGAAAAGGTTAGCTTTTTACTTCTTTGCAGATTTATGCCCTGTGGCTTCTATGTGCTTGGGTTTATTTTTATATCTGGGCTCTCTAGTCTGTTCCATTGGTCTATGGATCTGTTCTTGTGCCAGTACCAAATTGTCTTGATTACTGTGGCTTTTGTAGTAGAGCTTGAAGTTGGGGAGTGTAATCCCCTCTGCTTTATTCTTCCTTCTCAGGATTACTTTGGCTATTCAGGGTCTTTTGTGGTTTCACATGAATTTTAGAACTATTTATTCTAGTTCGTTGAAGAATGCTGTTTGTATTTTGATAGGGATTGCATTGAATCTGTGGATTGCTTTAGGCAGGATGGCCATCTTGACAATATTAATTCTTCCTATCCATGAGCACAGGATGTGTTTCCATTTATCAGTATCTTCTTTAATTTCTGTCATGAGTGTCTTGTAGTTTTCAGAGTATAGGTCTTTCACTTCCTTGGTTAGATTTATTCCTAGGTATTTTATTCTTTTTGATGCAATTGTGAATGATTTCTCTTTCTGCTAGTTCATCATTAGTATATATGAATGCAACAGATTTCTGTGTATTTTGTATCTGTGTATTTTATATCTGTGTAATTAATTCTGTGTATTAATTTTTTGAATTCAGATATTAGATCTAGTAGTTTTGGAGTAGATTCTTCATGTGGTCTTCTCCAGAAACTTTTGGGGGTTTTGCTGACCAGCTTTGGGGAGGTCGAGTTACATTGTCATTTTTGTGCTTCCATTTCAGTGTGCACAGTGTGAGCTTAAGGTCAGTGTGACAGTAGTAAACCATGACACTTGAAGGAGGGGTAAAACTTGTGGTACTCCTGGGTATATGCATTCCTTTTTTTCTCTGTTGTTGGAGGTACTTGGGGTGGAAATCTTGCAGCCCCTGTTATCCAGACTTGCCAGGTTGATATCCAAGTCTGAGCATGTACTTATACAATTTTGGTTGGATGCCATTCCTTACTTCAAAGCCCAATCTCTTATCTGACTCTTTTCAACAAAGTCTTCCCCTAATACTCTAGGCATCATTCATTTCTCTCTTCACTATAATCACTATGCTGTGCATTAGATTTATAGTTGCTGCCTTCTTTTGTTTTAGAGAGGTATTTTCTAGTATACTGTTTAAATTATTTTGTTTCTTTTAGTATATGTATTTTTTTGTTATTAGTTTTAGTATTAATATTACTATTAATTACTAGTTTTATTTGCTGGGCATTACTATTAATCTTAAAATAATGTTAATTGCTTAAAACGGTGTTGTTTTAATACCAACTTAATTTCAATAGCATACAAAAACTTTGCTCCAATATATTTTGTTACCACACCATCTTTTGTGTTATCATTACAAGCTCCTTAGCTTTATAATTATTACTTTATGCAGTTGTCTTTTAAGTCAGATAGGAGAAAAGAGTTACAAACATCTATACTTTTAAACTTTTATATTTACATATATAGTTACCTTTACCAGTACTGTTAATTTCTTTATCTGGATTTGAGTTTGTCTAGTGTCATCTCAGCCTGAGGGACTCCCTTTAGTATTTCTTGGAGAGCTAGTATTAAATTAATCTGTTTTTGTTTACCTGGGATAATCTTAATTTCTGTTCATTTTTGAAGGAGAGTTTTGCTGGATATGGAACTTTTTGTTGATGGTCTTTTCTTTCAGCAATTTGAGCATCATCCTTTTTGGCCTTCATGGTTTCTGATGAGAAGTCAGCTGTTGATCTCATTGAGTCTTCCTTGTGCTGGTTAAGTCACTTTTCTCTTGCTTTCAGAATTCTTTTTTTTGTCCTTCCACAGTTTGACTGTTGATGTATTTAAGTATGGATTCTGCTTGGATTTGTTGTATTTATATGCTTTGGATTTGAGTGTATTCTGCTTGGATTTGTTGAGCTTCCTGGATGTGTGGATTAATGTTTTCCATCAAATTTGGGAAGTTTGGGCTGTTATTTCTTCAGTTTTTTGGTCCTTTTTTCCCCTCTCCTTCTAGGATTCCCATTATGAGTATGTTGATATGTTTTGTTGTCCAAAAGGTCTCTGAGGCTCTGCTCATTTCTTTTTTCATTCTATATGTGTCAGTTGACCTTATCTTTGAGTTCACCGATTTGTCTGCTATTTCAAATCTGCTGTTGAGCCCCTCTAGAGAATTTTTTATTTCTATTAAGTCTGTATTGTACTTTTCAACTCCAAAATTAAAATTTTTTTGTCTCTTTATTGATAGTCTATATTTCATGAAACAGTCTCATACTTATTTTAGTTCTTTAGACATGGCTTCCTTTATTTGTTTGAACATATTTATAATAGCTTATTTGAAGTCTTTGTCTAGCAAGTCCAATGTCTGGGTCCAGGGACAGTTTCTATTGACTCCCTTTTCCTACTTGTGTTTGGGCCACACTTTCTTGTTTCTCTGGGTGTCTCATGATTTTTGTTGAAAACTGGACATTTAAAATAATATTAGATGGCAACTCCAGTCAGATTTCCCCTCACCTCAGGATTAGTTGTTGCTGTTTGTTTAGTGACTTTCTGGGACTAAGTCTAAAGTCTGTATTCTTTGTCATGTGTGGCCAGTGAAGTGTGTGTGTGTTGGGGTATGTTTTGGATGCTTTTGCAGGCAGTTTATACCTCTACTTCGCCTTTATTTCCTGCTTGCTCAAAGCCTCAAGGTCAGCCAGAGATGACAGATTAGGACCTTCTCAGGTCTGCTGTGGGCATGTGGCAGCCTCATACATGGGCATGGCCTTTGAGGTCCCTAGGAACGTGTCATGTTTTCCATTCCCCAGTATTTCTTTTTAGTCTTTCAGTCTACCTCTTGTTAGTCCTAGGTGATATCAAGCTTTTGGCAGCTGTGATGTTAAATTGCCACTGATTCTTTTGACAATGCCCTCAGCAGGTAGATCAGATATTCATGTTAGTAGTTTGAATATAAATCCTGACTCAAAGTCAGGGAAATTAGAATGAAGTAACAAGAGAAATATTAGATTGGTAAGATTTTCTTTTTGGGTGGGAGAAGCAGAAAGAAGTGAAAATGTTTCAAATTGAAACCAAATGAACTGAATGAAACTAAATGCAGGATGTTAGGAGGGACTTGTTAGTTTTGGCTGGGATGGCTGGGTGGGTGGTGGATCAAGCCTGATGGAAAGATGCATGTCTAATTTTGGACATGTCTCAGTGCTGCTGAAGATAAGGTGAACAAGGCATACCCACTTCTTAAAAGGTGCTCACAATGACCATATTAATGCAGAAGAGCATATGCAAAGGACATTGGCCTTCCACAGGAGGGAGAGGGAGGGCCAAGAGCTTCTGGGATATCTGGGGAAGATGGTGACTAAGGTGCCTATCACGATAGGTAGGTACCCTTCAGAAGGAAACATGAAAGTCAGTTTGAGTCTTGCTATTTCTCTTATTTGTGCATCCTCTTTCCCCTATCTTGTTTGGTGTTTAATGGCCATTTCTTTTCTTTTCAAAAGGATCTACCGCTACCAATCTCATGACTATGCCTTCAGTAGTGTAGAAAAGTTACTACATTCCCTCGGAGGGGACGACTTCCTTGGAATGCTTAACCGAACACTTCTTGAAACCTTGCAGAAAGCTGGCTTCTCTGAGAAATTCCTCAACGAAATTGTTGCTCCTGTCATGAGGGTCAATTATGGCCAAAGCATGGACATCAATGGCTTTGTGGGTAAGCCAAGGCTCAAAACAGTTATGGACATTAGTTCATAGGGGAAATTGACTTGATGCTATGGTGGCTCCTGACTTTAGGCCATGAGTTGAAGACTACCTTTTTCTGTGAAACCTCACACATTGTTGGCAAAATTGTATATATATAAATGTTCATTTTTATAGGGAGAGTCCTTAGCTTTTCTTATAGTTGAATCATTCTCAGCTGGGAAAGATTTTGCCCCCAGGGTCCATTTGGCAATGTCTGGAAGACCTATGGAGGAGAATTCACCTAACTGGGAAGGAGAGTGGGTACAGGGCCTCTTACAGTAACAATTAAAACACATTTTTTCCTGCTACCGACAGGGGCAGTGTCAATGTCTTGTGCTGATTCTGGCCTTTGGGCAGTAGACGGTGGCAATAAACTTGTTTGCTCAGGACTCCTTCAGGCATCCAAAAGCAACCTGATATCTGGCTCAGTAATGTACATAGAGGAGAAAACAAGGACAAAGTATACAGGTGAGTTTGCGTTCCTGTTTTACTCTTGCTAATTTCCCCTGTAGGAAATAATTGCTAAGGTAGAAAAACCTCTCTTCCACCATACCTCTCACTCAGTTCCAAATGATGGGAATTTTAAATTGTGTATGCTATGTAGAAATATTCTCAATTGTGTTCAAGTACAGTGAGTGGCATGACTCCTTGGATGTAAAAAGTATTCTCATCTTTAAAAGAAAAACTTTCATATTTTGTATTATTGACAAGGTAGTATTTCTATTCTGAGTATGAAATTGGCCTCAGTTTTGGACAGTTATCTTACGGGATAAAACTACTTTAATTCCTTATAATTACAAACTATTAAGAAGGTATAGGATTATTTTTAGAAGATGTAAAATAGTGTAAGAAACACTAAAGAAATGTATGGTTCCTTATTTCCTCTAGGAAATCCCACGAAGATGTATGAAGTCGTCTACCAAGCTGGACCTGAGACCCATTCAGACTTCTATGACATAGTTTTGGTGGCCACTCCACTGAATCGGAAAATGTCCAATATAACTTTTCTCAACTTTGACCCTCCAATTGAGGAATTCCATCAATACTACCAACATATAGTGACAACTTTAATTAAGGGGCAATTGAATTCAACTATTTTTAGCTCCAGAGCTTTAGCTGAGTTTGATCTTAGTACAATCTTAACCACAGATAATTCAGATTTGTTCATTAATAGCATTGGGATTGTATCTTCTGTGAGAGAAAATAATAATCTTCAACCACCAACAGATGGCACATATATTTGGAAGATCTTTTCCCCAGAAATTCTTACTAAAGAACAAATTTTAAAGCTCTTTTTGTCCTATGATTATGCTGTGAAGCAGCTGTGGCTTGCGTATCCCCATTATAAACCTCCAGAGAAATGCCCCTCCATCATACTACACGACCACCTTTATTACCTCAATGGCATAGAGTGTGCAGCAAGCGCCATGGAGATGAGTGCCATTGCAGCCCACAATGCCGCTCTCCTTGCCTATCACCGCTGGAATGGGCACATAGACATGATTGACCAAGAGGACTTATATGAGAAACTTAAAACTGAACTATGAAATAACACTATCATTTTCCCCTCCTGGTAACAAACGGAGCATCACTGGCAAAAACAACACAATCTGAGCAAAGATGATTGTGAATCATGTATTTTGTCATCATTATTATTAAACTAAAATAACCCCAGTGAGTCATGAGGAAATACAAGGTTCTAATTGAGTGTGAAGGTGTAACTATTGCATTTATGTCATCTCTAAAGTTTCTTCACTTTTAATATCCATAAATAGTATTTCCCAAACTTGTCTAAGATTCACCAGGAGTTTGTTAAATAATGGATTCCCTAGCTCCTCTGGAGATTCTCGTTCAGTAAGTCTGGGGGTGGGATGCTGGATTTTGAACAAAACCTTAGAGCATTTTAAATAAGCTGAACACTTGAAAAATGTAAAGATACGTCTTTCAGTTGGGAACTAGTTCATTTGTGCTTCATAGCTGGATGTGATCTTTAGCCAGACAGTTAAAACTATGGGAGTTGGTATCATATGCCTGGCTTTAGTTAATAATTTATGCCCTTTAAAGTAAAAGTGCCCATGCTTGCAGCCTTGACTTTCAGAATGTTCTTTTGATTGCTTCTGTCTGGATTTAATTATGGATGGAATTCAGAAATCTAAGTCGTATAACCTTAAGATGTCATACAAAAATCTCAAGTAAAATGAAAAGCAAATATAGGCTATTGATTTAAGAATTTGGCATTCTACTATGAAATCCTCAGTTATGGAGCTTTAAAAAATAGATTCCTCACAACCAGATTGATTTAATGAATTAAGGACAGGACTTCAGCATTGTAGCTTTTTAAAGTTCCTAATGTGCAACCTGAATTGAGAATCACTGATGTGGGGGTGTAAGCTGTCTTCAAAGGGTTTTTAGTGCCTTAAAGGTCCCAAGAAACCAATCCATTATCAAAGCTGATCCATTTTGTGAAGATTGATTTCTCTAAATGAGAACTCCAGCAGTAATCTTGATAGTAGAGGCAATTTAGTGTACTCCAGAGCAGATTACACTAAAGTAGGATATTTAGAATGACACCACACTTGATCAAATAAATCCAGCATATGTTCAAATTATTAAATGCTTCTAAAGCTACTGTAGCATTTTGGTAAGAAATTGGTTGCTGAAATCTTGTTTTAAGGCAGCAGTTCTCAACCTTGGCTGCATATTGGAATCACCTGTAGGACTATAAAGCTTCCTAAATGATTCTATGTGCAGCCAAACTTGAGAACCAGTTCTACATTTACTGTACAAAGATTGTGACTGACTGTCCTTGTAGTCACTAGTAGGACAGAAGAAAAGCCTGAGTTCTCAAAGTAACTCCAACAAAGTCAACGTGTACTGTGAAAAAAAGTTCTTCACCTGATTAAAGCAGTAGCTACTTTAGCAAAATGGGGGAAGAGAACATTGATTCTTAAAGATTTCTTCTCTGCTACAATTGTGAATATTAGTATGCTGATAAAATTGCCAAGATATATTTGATATAAAGGCAGGGCTTAAATTTATAGTTTGCCAAATGGTCAGCTTTTTTCTAATTTTATTCTTAACAAGTATGTTACATATTCTTATTTTTTCCTCTTGTGGTTTCAATGAAAACAGTATTGTAGAGAATGTAATATTGTGTTATGTGTATGTTAAGGATCAGTAAATATTAATGAAATAGTTTCTGTCAACCTAAGACTTGTTTTGCAATGAGATTTATTTTCACTTGAAAGAACACTATATCAAACCTACTTTAAGTTTCCCACCAGGGCATCTGAAATTGCCTCTTCAAAGAGCAAAACAAGTTAACAATGTATTAAGCATATTGGTAAGTTTTATGCAATTAGCATTAAAGAATAATTCTTCATTGAAAGAAAAAAATACTGTCAGAGCCTGTTACTTCAGGAGACTACTAATCTTTTGACATTAATCATGCAGGGGCTGACTGAAAGCCAGCTCTACCCCAGTGGTTCTCCAACTTGAGTATGCACTGGCAATTACTACAGGGTTAAAACATTGCTGGGCCTCACTCCCAGAATTTGTTTCAATAGGTCTGTAATGGTATACAAAAACTGGCATTTCTGCTAAGTGGTTGCAAAAAATGCAAGCCTGTCAATGTTGCATCAGTGAAGTCAGTAAAGATAAAAAAAGCTGCTAGGTAATGGAAGAATAAAAACATACTGGACTTCACATCAGTTTTCCTTATTACAATTAAATTTGTTTGAGCCCACTAGCTGTTCTTTTGCCATAAATATTTTAAGTAGGAACTACCATTTATTTATTTATTTATTTTTTGAGAGGGCATCTCTCATATTTATTGATCAAATGGTTATTAACAGTTAACAACAATAAAATTCTGTACAGGGGACTCAATGCACAATCATTAATCCACCCCAAGCCTAATTCTCATCAGTCTCCAATCTTCTGAAGCACAACGAACAAGTTCTTACATGGTGAACAAATTCTTACATAGTGAATAAGTTCTTACATGGTGAACAGTGCAAGGGCAGTCATCACAGAAACTTTTGGTTTTGATCACGCATTATGAACTATAAACAATCAGGTCAAATATGAATATTCGTTTGATTTTTATACTTGATTTATATGTGAATCCCACATTTCTCCCTTATTATTATTTTTAATAAAATGTTGAAGTGGTAGGTAGATGCAAGATAAAGGTAGAAAACATAGTTTAGTGCTGTAAGAGCAAATGTAGATGATCAGGTGTGTGCCTATAGGCAAAGTATTAATCCAAACTAGACAAGGGCAACGAAACATCCACGGATGCAGATTTCTCTCAAAACGGGGGGTGAGGTTCTAAGCCTCACCTCTGTTGATCCCTAATTTCTCACCTGATGGCCCCCCTGTGACTGTGCCTGTCTTAGGTTGAGGAACTACCATTTTAGAGATAACCTATAAGCCATCCACTGTGTTTTGTTTTATAAGTACCTTAGATATTCACTGTGTATACCTCATTCTCTAAAATAGTTTAAAAATGATTCAAAGTTTGAAGGCTTCTTACCAGATCACAAAAAGAATATGCCAAGCATTTGTTTGATAGATTTTTTTAAGGTTTGGTTTATGACACAACCATGTGTAATCTGACTGAGGTTTGTGCGCTGTAAAATTTATGACCTGGGTGAATATATTGTGCAGCATTATCACCACCCTCCATTCTCCACAAAGAACCACAATACACTGGAATGTTTTTCTTTAGAATTCTATTTCTAATCGTATGCAAAACTGTTTCCCAATTATGCTCAAAATAAACAATGACATCCTATGTCTTCTGTTGCACTACACTTGGAACGTAGATGTACTTGGAAAAGTCAGAGTACATCAAAGTTACTACACTGAGATCTGAAAATTACAGTTAATGTTGCAGATAAAACTCACTTAGGTTTGTAGGTTATCTCTTGTTCAGTGTTAGAAGATGGAAAAAGGGATCCTTGCCATGTTTCACATTTAGTCAGATCCTTCAATATCACATAAAAACATCTGAACAAATTGTTAGAATAGTTCATGTCAGAAAAAATTAGAGCAACACTTAGCATTGTATTTTCTATGTTCATAATGTTCAAGAAAGCATTTTTGACTACTGCAAAAGTTTATTTAACAAAAAAGTTCAGTATGAAAATGTATACCCGATTTTCATATTGCAGTAAAAAACATGTGCCGTGGAGAGGGGACATGGAAACGGTGGATTTCTCTGGTGTACATAGCCATTGCTTATACTCGTTCCAAGGCTTCCAACATGATGATACTGTTTCCTCGTATTACCTAAGAAAAAATTTGAAAAGAATACAATTCATTTAACAGACATCAATGATTACTAAAGAATTTTCAGCAAATCATTAACGGTTTTTCAGTATTAAAGGTCAGTTTGTGATGCTTTTTTCAAGCCATAGGTACACTAAAGTCTTAATCATGTCATGAAGCCACTAAGACCTTTTTTAGTGAAACGCACATCTTCTAGACTGAAGACTAACAAGTGCCCTTTTGAGATGTCGAATCTCCAGTAACTCATTTCACCTTCTAAACTGGGATTCAAACAACATGACTATCTCTACCCTAAAACCCCTGAAATATCCATAAATTAACAGGAAAAACAGATATTGTAGAATGTCAGCTTAGGGATATAAGATCATTTAGGGAACAAACCACGATGGGTATTGTGAAAAGTATACTTTATGAAGATGGCATTTTACCTGGATCTTGAAGATAGGAAATTCTAGACAAACAGATGAAAAAGTGTAAGGATATAAGGGAAAAAACCTACCCTGAATGCATGTAGGTTATGATGGAAAGTGGAATATAAATATAGTTTTCATCAAATCTTAGAAGGTCTCAAACACCAAAGTGTGTGGAGGGTATCATGAAACCAACGAGTGAGTGAAACTTTCACAGTTGGGGGAATAACCACTGTTCTACCCATACATTTGAGAGAAGGGCAAGAGCTTAGAGGCAGAAAAAGAAGTTAAAAAGAAAGGCCCTAGGAGCACAGTGCCTGACAGTAGCCATTCTATAAATGAAGACAAGGATACTGAGGAGAACTTAGTGAAATGGTTGGTTACTGCACTGAGGAGGGGTCGAAAAATTAGTCAAACTGGAAGGCCAGGAGACCCTGGTAGACTGCAGATGTAATAAAATACAGTTCCATGTCAAGTAAAGCTGGATGGGTGAAAGGACAGGAGGGGATATAGAGGAAATGTAACAATTTGTTAGAAATGGAGGCATTCTGAGTAAGAGTCAACGTGGAGGGATAAGGGGTGGGAAAAAAGAAAGGGTGCATTATAATTAGCATGTATAATCGGGGGGGGTGCACGGGGAGGGCTGTACAACACAGAGAAGACAAGTAGTGACTCTACAGCATCTTACTACGCTGATGGACACAGACTGTAATGGGGTAAGTGGGGGGTCTTGGTGATGGGAGGAGTCTAGTAAACATAATGTTCCTCATGTAATTGTAGATTAATGAACCCCTGCCAAAAAGGCAAAAACTCAGGTTCGACCCCACACTTACTGAATTAAGATCTGCATTTTAGTAAGATCTTCAGGGAATTTATACACATAAAGTTTGGTAAGTAGCACTTAATCCTCACTAACATTAAAATTACCAAAGATCTTTTAACAACAAAAAAGGTATCAGTTTCAACTGCTTTGGAGTAGGAACAGATTTTTTTTGAAAAATGTCTCAGGTGACTGCAAATGCTCTAAATCAGTGATTAATCTTGGCCTTACTTTAGAAATATCTGGAGAACTTTTAGATCCAGAACTATTGCTCAAATGAAGGACTACAGCCCTCTATTGGAGAATACAGATGAAAAAGTACTTCCAAAGAGGATTCTACATAAGATTCGTATCAACTAACAGTTGAGTGACTGCCACATGTTAAACTAAAAGGAAGATGGAAAGTCTAATCTTGCCTGTAATTTGCCTAACTTCTATTTAATCCAAGAGTTTGACTGAATGGAAGTTAACGCTTAAATGAAATCTCTACAGAAATCTTGTTCTCTTTACTTACCACCATTCCAATATTGTTCTGTTGCCCACTAGTTGCCATCTCCACACATTCATCTATCACAAGATTCATAAAGGGATCAAATCCCCTCAATATTCCTTGGACATGTCTTCCACCATTTAATTTCACTATAAAGAGGGAAGAAAGTTTTAATGAAAGTGGTCAGTATCAGCTACTCGTTAAAGATTAGTTGGTATAAAATCCAGGTATTTTGAGATATATAATCCACTATCCTTACTATGTGCCAAGGACTGGGCTAAACATTTCATATATATTTTCACATTTAAATTTAACCAGAATCTTAAAAAGTAGAATTATCCTAACTCTTTATGAGGGAACTTAAGTAACTGGTTCAAGGTTATATAGTTAGTGTGTGGTAGAGCTGGGTTTCAAACTGAAGGCTGTTTTGCCTTTGAAGCCTGTTTTAACCCTTATGTATTTGAAGTACTGTACAGGTCAGATTTTTTGTCCATGTCTGTCTTTTGATTAAAGGAAAAAAGGATGGTAAATTTTCAAATATTACAAAATAGGAAAATCCTGTTAATTCTGTCAAAATGGGGGAGGTAGGGATTATATGAAACAATGAGAAGTTTGAAGTACTATGAAATTGATTAAATATCAGAAATTAGGTAAATTAGGATTTACTTAGGATTTTAAGTAAACCTGATTAATGGATGTGAATTAGAGGTTCTGTGTGCTTTGAACGTCTGTAAATTGCTCCAAACATTATATACTGCCAAGACACATACAAAAAGCAAGTAATTAAAAAACAAAACAAAAATAACTTACATGATAACTTTTTGTCCATAAATCTGAAAAAATAAAAAGGAGATATAACTGATCTTAAAAACTTAAGCATAAAAAAGAACAAAAGTAGGTATAATCAATATAATTTGCTAAAATTTACATAGTAGGAATAAAATTTCAAACAGTAAAAGCCTATGTTGCTGCTGTAAAAGATGAGGGAGTAATGGGCCACCTCAGTCAGTACTTACACAAAGCACTGTAATTTGGGAAGGGCAAGATAATAAAAGTGGAATGGATCTAAAATATTAATATACATTAAATCAAGTCTTTATACTAATGTGAATTACAAATACATTCTTGTTCAATATTGGCCTAATTTTCAATGACTGGATTTTATAGCCATAAGAGAAAAAGATTTGGTTATTTCCAAAACCAAACAAAGTTGTGAAGAAACCAGGAGGTAATCAAACCACACCCAATTCAATAGGTATTTTATTTTATAATTGAGACAATAGTGTTTTATTAAATATTCAGTGGGGCTAATACCCAAAATATGTAAAGAACTCATATGCCTCAACACCAAAAAAAACAATTTCGTCACAAAATGGACAGAGGACCAGTTTTCCAAGGAAAACATATAGATGGCCAACAGGCATATGAAAAGATGCTCCACATCCCTAATCATCGGGGAAATGCAAACCAAATTCAAAATGAGATTATCACCTCACACCAGTCAGAATGCCCACCATCTAAGCACAATAACAAGTGTTTGTGAGGATGTGGAGAAAAGGGAGCCCTCCTATACATTTGGTGGTGATGTAAATTGGTCCAGCCACTGTGGCAAGCAGTATAGGTTACTCAAAAACCTAGAAATAGAAATATTATATGACCCAGTAATTCTACTTTTTGAGAATTTACCCAAATAAAAAGTATCTGATTCGAAAAGAAAAAAAAAATTAAGTATCCATCTTAAGTGTTCAGGATATTCTTCAATACCTAAGTATATTTTAGTAAAATAACTGCATATTTTGAAGCTTTAACAATTTGAATTAAAAAAGAAAATGGCATCTCAGCAAGGCAGTATGAATACTAAGTAATTAAGTCAAACCACTTTTTACCTCTTCCAGTTCTAGGCTAGAAAACCGAAAATTTCATTCCACTTTAGTGTACAACACATCATACGAGAATTCAAAGATAACTAAGACATGGAGCCTGACAGAAGATGCAAGATACATTTACAAATAAAAATATATAGTATGATGTATTAAATAACCTATTCTAATATATTAAACAATAGCAAATATAACATATGAGGTTATTAACCCTTATGACAACTTTAAAGTTACATACCATTATCACTACCATTTCACAAGATGGGGAACTGAGGCTTAGGAAAGGTTAAGTAAAATTGTCCACAGTCACATAGCAGGTGATAAAGTTTGGGCAAACACAAACAGTTTCGTTTGGATGGAGAAGAGGGCATTCAAATACCTGTGTGTGTAATATTTGGTGCTTGGATTTCAGATGGAGGAGCTTGGATGCTGGGTGAAGAAGTCTGTACTGTATTATGCAGTGGTTAAGTTATTAAGGCAGAGCCAGTTATTGCCAAGACTACTTGGCAGTGATTTTTTAAAGAGGTGTGAGGGAAAATGCAGTTAGCCCAGGTTATCTCAACTTCACCATACTGACCTATGTGGCCAGATGATTGTTGTTGAGGGATGTCCAGTGTACTGTAGGGTATTTTGCAGTACCCCTGGCCTCTACCTACCCCATGCTGATACAATCAGACTCCCCACTCACCAGTGAAGAATCAGAGTTATGCGAAACCACGAGGAGGGTATAAAAGTGTAAAAGATGGCATGCGTGAGAAAGTAAAGGAAGAAACATTTTCAAAGTCATTTTGACTTTCTGACAGGATTTTCTAATTCATGATATCTAGGTATGAGAAAAGAAAGGTATTAAAACTAGTTTCATCCTCTGAAATTCTCAAGTATCTGTTAAAAATCAGAAAGGAAATTTAAAATTACAAGTACAGCCTGGTCCTTTTGCTAAAAAAAGAATTAACCATTTCACCAGTTCCTGATGAATCCAGAGGACACAAGATTTTACCCAGATCACCAATGAAAGAATATCTTTTAGACCTGCATTTTCACAATAATTTGTGTTTTTCTTAATGTCAGGCTTATGATTTAATAATTGTCTTTAAAAGACTCAAATATAGTTTTTAACCCAAAAGGTGGCTTTGATACAAACAGGCACTTACATGCAGAATTATTAACTATGAGCTTTTTCTGAAGTTTTTTACTTCTTTATGGAGCTAGTAATAAATGAACTATAAACAAGGTGCCCAGGTGGCTGCCACACAAATTGATCCCTGGATCAATTCTGCATAATTTGTGCTAACCAATTACTACATGCAGAATTCTACCATTACATGGTAAACAGAAGAAAGAGAAGTACTTTGGAAACATGGTACATGTTAAGTTCAGTCAAGAGTTTTTGAGGAGGTTGAACATTTAAATCGGTCACTGTCTAAAGTAGGAATACTTTAGAGATGATTTTATTGGGTATCGAAAAAGCAACCAACCTGTCCTCTAATTAGAAAAATGAATGTTCTCACACATCTCTGTTAACAGAACAAGGTTTCACATGACATTCCAGTTTAACAAGTACAAGCAAGCAAGAAAAAGGAATGGGATTACTAAATTAAAGTTCGAAGAAACAGCTACAAACGTGGGTTTTGGTTAAGGTAGATTTTGATTCCTCATATACTACTAAGCATGTTCATTCCACGCACCTCCTTACATAATTATTCTCCAGTCACTTATCTACAACTTAATGCTATTAAAGATGCTCAACAAAGGATGGCATTCGAGATCTCCAAGTAACGAGGGAGAGAGCCCGAGGGAGTGTACTGAGGAAACGTGGGCCAGAAATTCGGGCCAGAGAGGCGAGTCTGCAGAATGGAGGCGCCTTGGCCAGCTTTGGTAACCATGCCGACCAGGCCCTGAAGAGACATCTACGCGAACTGCAGGCGCGGAAGTGCGGGACCCTGGCCGGTACCTCGGCGGCCTCGGGCGGGAGTAAGTGTGCCAGGCGCACTGATGGGAAATGGAGGAAGACCTAAGAAACTCTTAAGGACGCTAAGAAACTGCCACTTAAGCGCGGTCCTCACATATACTTACTTTTTCAATTCGGGAGGGTGCGCTTTGCTCATGGTGCCTACGCCGCGAGCTCAAGGACTCCAAACGCAGCCCACCTCACGCTCCCGTGGTAGGCCTGGCGTTTTGCGTCTGACGTCAACTATCCCATTAGCCAATCGGTTGCTGGAAGCTTTCACATTTTCACCTCGCGATACTTACGGAAAGCCTGATGGAGTCGATCAGCTCTAGCTTCCGGTTGCGTTGCCCGCGACTGGCTAGGATGGAGGGGGTGGGGCCTCAGGGCGTTTTCCTTAATTCTGAGTGTTCTGTGCAGTGTGCGTTCTATAAAACCTCTGATCTGCACTAGTCAATTACTTATCTTTGTGGATCGCATCAGTTATCTTCTTCACATAGACCAAATAAAAATCTCAGGAGTGGGCCCCTATTTCTTGGGCATGTGTTTTCACAGTATATTGTCATGCTAAGCCTAGTGTTCCAGTAACATCTTAGTGACCTCTGCAACAAAGAGCAGGATGACAGGGCCAGTCTTAAGAATTTTAATCCAGAGCGCGGAAGTGTATTTCCAACCGATGCTCCTGCAATTCTAACACTGCTTCCAAAAGAACCCCCACTTAACGTACCTTGCCTTATATGTAAAATGTTAAGTGCAGCACACAAACGCTAGTATGTGGTACTCATTTTCAAGTCAAGAGCATTGTGAAAATCGGTCAACTTGTTCTCAGTTAAATCACCCAAAATAGGAGAATTTACATTTATGAATCAAATAGGGATTACAGAAGACTTGGCCAAAATAGAGAAATCCTGGTGATTCTAGGTAGGGGATGGTTCTCAAAAATTCAATTTATTACTAATGTTCAGTAATGGCTATACTTAAATACCAATGGTAATAAAGACAAACTCATAGTCTGTACTCCTGGTACTCAAAATCCTAGATGTTGCATTTTCTCTAAAGGGGTCATAACTGTGTACCTTTCCACCATTTGCTATTACTGTTTAGCTGAAGCTAGGACCTGACATGAGTACTCAATTCTAGCCTTATAGTTTCTGTTTACACTGATGGACTTCAAGACATAGTGCCCTAGCCTGTTCTCAAAGATCCCCCCATTTACATTGGATCAGTCCTGTATTCCAACCGTAACACTATATTCACTCTTCTGGACCTCTTAAGAAACTTATTTCACATATTACAAAGAGAAGCATCCTAATAGTTATATATTCACTGCCCAGATAAAAGGGAAGAAACACAATACGGGAGGAAAAATTGAACTTTATTTTTTAAAATCGAGCAAGTAGGAAAATATATCACAGCCCCCAAACAGCACAGACAGGCTCTATTATAATTTCAAGTAGTAAGTTGGTAAAACAACAACTAGGTCCTTATAAAAATGATTAAGGTACCAAAGCTGGGGCAGGAACACTGATTGTTGCAAAGGCCCCAGGCAAAAGCAGTATTTGGTACTGGGGGGCTGCCCCTTTTTTGCTCTAAAGGAGTCACAGCTTGCCCCTGAGTTGCTTACATTTTCTCCCTTGACCTTCCTGTTGCCCAGGGACTATATCGATAGGGCTCTGTTATATCAGGAGGTAGTAATACTGACTGGGTTTATTTCATCCCATTCTGTTCTATGAAAACCCAGTTTTCCCAAATTCAGTACTTTGTAACTCTTAAGCAGCCAACAGTGCCTCTTTCGTTGGTCATTCCTGGATACCGGTATATAGTACAATGAAAACATCCTTTCCCTTCAAGAGAATGTTATTGCAAGATCATCTTGTTACTAGCTGCGGATAGCCTTACGGCCCATCATGGTTGCCAGTGAGAAAAGGTCTGCTTTTCCCATACCCAGTGTGACATTGCCTGTTTTTGCGGGGTGTCCAGGCTGAAATATGTATGAGTATTTCAAGAAATGCATATCCACATCCTGACTGCCACAAACGGATATCCCTAAGAAACCTTTCAGAGATCTTATCCCAACTACCTCTCCCAACTCCGTATCCTAAGTCAACCCTATTCCCTTGTCTACAAAACAAAATCAAGCAAAGCAAAGGCCCAGAAACCTTTCTTCCCTTCTAAATTAGTGCTCTCATGGATTTTGTTTTACAATTTACAGAAAATGGCGTGGTGACCCTTCTAGTAAACAGGAGGTTGGCAACAAACAGAAACATTTCTCCTCACACTCTACCAGATAACAGGCAGATGAGAGGAAACTGCTAGGCTGTTGGTACCTGTGTACTATTAAGAATCTGGTGCATTGGAGAGTTCTGTCTTGGTACAAGGGAGATGTCTACTGTCAGGAAAGTACTTGCCACATGAAATTTAGGCTATCAAAAACTCTCCTGTGATCTCTCTGACCCAAATTTTAGCACCAGTTTTTTTCCACTTCACTTTCTAGGGCTGAAACGTAAAGGAACCAGTGTCCAAAGGCAAGTAACATGTCTTAAACTTGCTGCCATTCTTAATTTCTTCACTCATAAACTTTGCTTAAAAGACCAAAATCCCCACTCCTCTTTTTAAATAGATTCTTGCCCTCAGCCCTCATGGCCAAGGGCAAAGACTTCTATTTTCCAATGGACAAGAGAGACTCCTTCATCTTCTTGGTCATGGTTGGGATGAGATGTATGTGGTCATCCACACACTTGGTCACACAACTCTCCAGCTCCTGCTTCACTTGAAGCTCTTTACTCCCCATATCTATCGAATCTTTGGCCTTGTCGTTGCAATGCATGGTGCACCGGGCCAGGCGGTCCTGTGGCAAGAAGGAAGAGGGCTGAGAAGGCTGAGAGGATAGATTCATTTACTGAGTGCTTATCACATGATAAGGCCCTTTGCTACATATTTTGGATTGACATATATTAAAGGGATACAACAGTGCAATTAACCAAGATTATTCTGATTGAAACAGAGGCTGGCATAGGGAGGCCCAAACAATGCATTAGTAGAAAGCTGTAAATGACAGAATAAATTGTATAAAAGCCCCTTTCAGGAAGTGAAATGTAAGTAAGGCTTCTGTTACTCAACTACAGAAAGTTAAACACTTTGATTCTTTCATGTCTGTCCTTGCTACAGAAAAATACTTCAACAAATATTTACTGAGCATCTCCTATGTGCCAGGTACCATTCTAATGTTGAGGAATATAGCAATAAGTAAAAGATAACGTTCTTGCCTTTATTGCATTTATATGGGGAGACAGACAAACAAGTAAGTGGAGATGTTCAGGAAAACAGTTGGATATATGAATCGAGATCAGGAATGGATCTGGTTCAGAACTATAAATGAATATAGGCATTGTCAGAATATAGATATTTATAGCTATGAGACTAGAAAGCTAGATAGAAAAATGAGAAGGTCCAAGGACAGGCCTGGGCACTCCAGTGCTCAGAGGTTGGAGAAGGGGGAAAAGCCAGGAAAGCAGGCCAAGAAAGGATGGCCAGAGAGTGAGATGGAAAACTAGGAGAGTGAGGTGTCCTGATGCCCAACTGGACAGTGTTTCAGGAAGGAGTGTGATCAGTCAATAATGCAGATAGTCTGAGTAAGATCAGAGTGAGAAATGACATCTGGATTTAGCCCCACAGCAGGGAATGGTACCGCAGTTCTGGCAGGGTGGAAGAGTAAGTCTGATTAGAGAGGCCTGAAAAATGAATGGGAGGAGAAAGTTACAGCAACCCAAGAATCAAAATTTCAAAGATCCCATCTACAAAATTAGCTGTCAGAATGAGCACAAAGAAACCCTTTGGGATTTCATGACTGTGGAGAAGTTATTTCTTCCAAGTGTCAGTAAAATTTTGAAGAATTTTATACAGAATATAAAAATTGATCACATTAGATGCCATTTTTCTATGTGAACAGAATCTCAAGCTATGAAAAACTGGTTCAGAGAAAGAAATGGGCTCTGATTCTCCCAAGTTCCAGAAACATAGTCACAGGAAGAGCATACAATCAATATTTTGCTCAGGGTAGAGAGTGTGATATGGTGGGTTCTTTGTGACCTCAGAGGGGCTTGTGAGGCAGGCATCGATGAGTCAACAATAATAATGATTGCTCATCAGTTGCATGGGAGCTCCCTCTGGGTGTAGAAGTAGGGGTAGTCCAGGGTAGGATAAGGCCTCAAAATGATCTTGCTGTGATTTGCCTTTTTAAGACTAGCCTATACCACCTTCCCAGGGAATTCTGTTATAAGAATGAATGAATATATGCTTTAGAAAGATCTGTATTATTTAGTATACATGTTTTTATTTGTTGTCTACAGAAAAAAAGCATAAGGCTCTTGGTCATAAATTCCCTTTTACATTACTGTTTCCACAGGAAGTATAGCCCGAATTTCAGATCCTGTGAAGACTGGCTGGCCACAGAACTGTCACCAAGGTTAATACAATCAAGACATTAAAGCCAGGAATTTTGAACAAATGCTTGTCATCTCCTGTGAAAGAGGAGCATCAATGACTAGAGTGCTCTTGTTTGGGATGTTCCTCACCTGGAACTTCTCCAGCTCGCTGGTTACCAGGGCCTGGGCTTGAGCCAGAGGCTCGTGGCAGCGGTCAATGCACCGGTGTACTTGCTGCATGGAGGCCTGGTTGTCCTCACAACAGCTGGCGCTGCACCTGAACATGAGGCCCTGGGGCAAGAGGAGAGATGGGTTAGGTCCCAGAGCTTCCAGGGACAGTGTGCAACAGAGGTTAGGGATAGCAGCTATATTTGCACCTCTCCTTAGAACAGGTATCTGGACCTCAAAACCACAAATGGGAAAGTTACCCTCAGTGCTTTTTAATGGCCTTCTTGCCGCCAGCTCATTGGCACTTGTTGCACTGAATGCTGGGTGGTCGGGGAAGGTGTCAGTGAGTCAGATGAAGCCAAGTTCTGAAAACTAGGTGCCTATATCACAGGGTTCAGAGGTCAATAACCTATAATCTAGATTCCTCAAGAGGACAACCCTTCCATTAATCAATTACTCAAGGGGGCACTAAAAGGTAAATCCACAATCTGGTTAGGGAGGCAAGACCAACAGCTTCAGAACATTTAGGGGACTGAAGAAGAACGGCGTATCACCCAGATCGGTGCGGAGCTAATTCGGTGCAACTGGTCATCAAGGCCAACCGCTTTCACCTTTCCGGTCTGTCACCTTGGCCGTGCCCTTTCTGTATCTCGGCTGCTCACCTGCAGAAGGGGCCACGTAACCGAGAAGGCTGGAAAAGGGCAAACACCTCAACTAGGGCCTTTCTAACCCTGGTCCAAGGCACCCCCTCCCCGGGTTTGGCCTGAGTGTCAAACGGCTTTGCGAGTGGCGAGGGCGCACAGATTTCATCCGCTCAGCCGAGGCTCCAGAAGTTCTGCTGAGGATGAGGTGTGCTTCCGAGAGCGCCGCGGCGAACCCAGGCAGCCCCCGCTCCAGGTCGGCCGGGAGGGGAGCAGCGGCGCGGGGAGGCGCTGGTGATCCCGGACTGCCTGGGCTCCTCCCGATCGGCCCCAGCCTCGCTACCTGCATCTTCCGGATGTTCTCTTTCTCCAGACTCGTCACCATGGAGTCCACCGCCTCCTGCACCCGGAGATGCTGCAGCTCCGCCATGGCGACCCCGCGCTACACCCTGCCCCGCCGGCGCCCACGTGAACTTCGGCGCACGGCCCCGCCCCCTCGCCGTCGCGTCTTGGGTCACCGCGGCCCGCCCTTTCCGGCCCACGCTGCCGCCTGGCGTCCGAGAGGAGCAACTGCACCCGTCCTTGGAACAGACGTCGGGAACCCCTGCCGCGCTCGTCCCGCCTCCCAACCGCGGCTCCGGCTGCCTAGGGCACCCGAGGGCGTCAGCCTGATACCCCGCGCCTACGCCCTGCGAGCACTACTGCCTTTCTCCCTCCTGTCTCTCCTTCTGTCCTTTTCCTCTCTAACTTCAAATTATTTTTAAAAATGTAATATAATTAACAGATAATTGCCCAGATCTTAGGCGTACAACTTGATTAGTTTTAACTAACTGTGCCCTTTTTTCCCAATCTCCCCACTCCCATTTTTCCCCTCTTTCGCAGGCAACAACTGATCTGTTTTCTGATATACATAAAACACACACACTCATATATACTATACACATATTTATATGTGATTGTGCAGTATGTGCTCTTTTTGTGTCTGGCTTCTTCACCTAGCATAATGCTTTCGCGATGGAGCCATACTGTTGATTTCTTCTTGCTGCTGAATAGTATTCCATTGAGTGGACATACTACCATTTGTTTCTTCATTCCCCTGTTGACGGATATTTGGGCCTTTTCTTATTACCTGTTCTGAATAAACTGGTAACTGAACATCCTTGAGCAAGTCTTTTGTAGACTCAGATTTCCATTTCTCTTGCGTAAATATCTAGAGGTCGAATTTTTGGATTGTTGGTACATTTATTTCTAGTAAAAAGTTATTAGCCTCAAATTCAGGGCAGGGGCTACAGATATCAACTGACAATGAAACATCAATGTGCCAGCAACAGCGAGCTGCCTTGGAGCTCCTAGAACAGTTCTATCTGGAACGCCACACCCCCATCCACAACTTTAGTATGCGTTCATTTAGTAAACACGTATTGGGTGCCCGCTAGACAGGGGACTCCGTGCTAGGAGTGGGGCTCCACAGGGGAGCATCAGTGAATGGGAAGGGGGCAGACCCAGGCAATGCTGACAGAGATGAGCTGTAGTGGGGGGCCGGGGTGCAGGAAGGAAGTGAGCGGTCCAGGATCTCAGGAAAGCTTTCTTAGAAGAGACAAGCAGGTATTTGCCTGGCATCCAGGATGGGGAAGAGAATGCCATGCCATGCATGGGGAGCGGCCATGGACAAAACAGTGTGAAAGAGCTTGAAGCTTAAAGGAACCCAAGTGGTTCTGCTGACGTGGAGCCTGGAGTAGAAAAGGAGACTGATGAGGGGGGAGCACAAGGAAAGGGGTCCTGACATAGGAATTTAGGCACTTGCTGCCTTCAGCACTGGAAGAATTCTGGTTTGAAGGCAGTGAGATGCTTTACTCAACCTGAGTCCTTTCAAGAAAGCTGTATTTTTCAAGCACCATGCCCCTTCTAGCCTATGTGCTGGTAACTCCCTAGAAACCACTGTCTGAGACATCCTTTTGACATCACCATCTAATCCAAGCCAGACGGGAGGTGGCTCCCAGGAGTCTTTGGAATCAGGGTGATGCTAGCTATTATTACAATGTGCCAGGCTCTGTTTTAAGTCTTTTCATGGATTATTTTATTTATTTCCACAACAATGCAATCAGGTGAGTACTTTGTTATCCACTTTTCTCTCAGGGCAGAAAACTAAAGTCTAAGGAGGTGAAGCCACATGCCAAACACTGAACACTTAGAAGTTAGAATTGGTGGGACTAGAATTCCAACCCAGATAAACTGACTCCAGACTATAGGGAATCTCCATAATGACTGGCTTACTGTTAATACTTATGTCTCCAAATTCCACTGAGAATTGTTTCTTTCTGCACAATTGAAACTCCTTGCCTTTTTCCCTTGTTCCTAAAATGTCAGGCTGACTCTCTCCAAGTCCTACTTATAGGAGCCTAGTTAATCATGTTAAAATGAATTTAAAAGTCCTTGAGTAACGCAGACTTGCTAGTTTATGTATACAAGTGAAGGGTTCTTTAGTATTTATGAAAAATGATTCCTGACTGTAGTTGGAAACCAAATAGGAGTCATGGTGGAAACAGAGTTGACTTTCATTTTAGCAGGGTCAGTTACCTGTTTGTGTTTTTGTCTTGGTGCTTTGGGAACAGGAAACGAGGTTTCAGGGTCCAAGATCTTGTCTGGCCCAAGCCAGGGCTGACTCACTGGAAACAAGCCTGAGCCTTTTCAGGGTCCTGGATGGTTAGTTATGCAGTCTGGATTTCTTCCCCACCCCTCCTGCACACCACACCATGCCCTCAGCCATAACACTCCTAGACACTCTGTCAGAGACAAACAATGGCACTAGATAGACCAGAATTCTTTTCTATTTACTTATATTTGGGACGTGGATGGGATGAATGTAGTCTGGAGGCCTGGGATGATAGGAAGAAATTTGCTCATTGCTGCCGCCTCCTGTGCTTTTCAATGGCAGTGTTCAACAAACCACTGTTCTTTATATCACTGCTCAGCTTGTTAGATAGCAGGATAAAACCAATTATGGAGGAAACACGCAGAGAAAGGAACACTTATACAATGGTGGTGATGTAAATGGAGTAAGGGCTTAATGATGTAAATGTAAAGTGAAGACTTGTCTGTTCCGCAAGGCCATTGGCAATGTATATCAAAAGCCATAAATACACGAAAACTCCTTGACCCAACAATTCCTTTCAAAGGAGGAGCCTAGGGAAATAATCAGACATGTTTGGAAAGCTGTGTGAACAAGAAATTTTCTTTTTTTAAAATTAAAGTAGCTGTGCTGATGGACAGTGACTGTAATGGGGTATGTGGTGGGGACTTGATAATGGGGGGAATCTAGTAACCACAGTGTTTCTCATGTAATTGTATATTAATGATACCAATAAATAAATAAATTAATTAATTAAATTAAAGTATCACTAATATACACTGCTATGTTGATTTCAAATGTCATCACAGCACAGTGGTTTCAATAGTCCCCATGATCAACTTATTTGTGATTGTGAATTACTGTGCCCTTTTATCCCTTTCAGCCCCTGCCCCCTGGTAACCACTAGTCACTTCTCAGTGTCTCTGAATCTACTGCTGTTTTGTTCCTTCTGTTTTGCTTTGTTTGTATATTCCACAAATAAGTGAAATCATATGGTGTTTGTCTTTTTCTGCCTGGTGAACAAGGATGTTTGGTACAGCATTTGTAATAGGCCATGTTTGGAAGCAACTATATGTGTAACAACAGGAAACTGATGAAATAACTAATAAAAAGCATATGATGGAGTGCCCAGCAGACATAAAGAATGACACTGTAGGAGTATTTTTCATTGACATGGAAAGATATATGTTAAATGTGGTTGTGTGGAGAAATCAAATAACAAAGGAGTGTGCATCTTGATTTTATTTTTTACAAAATATAAACATTTATATACATTGAAGAAAGTTTGATAAGTTACACAATAAAATGTTAAGTTTGTTTTATATGGGTGATGGGATTATAAATTATTGTAATTTTCTTCTGAATATTTATGTGGAGCTCCTGAATTTTCTCCAGATACATAAAATACAAGTTAGTATGTTCCATCATAAGTGATGAGCAAGAGGGACTGATCAATTCATGTAATACTTCAGTTCACTCAACACCACCACTAGATTATTATTATTTTTATTATCAGGTGCTTTCCCTACAAAGTCTTAAGGCCAGGACACTGCCCAGATACAGTAGTTGGATAAAAGGGCAGCATGGGAAAGCTTGGCTGCATGGCAGGGAGTTGGTGCTGTGGATTTCGGTTTTCATCCTGGCAGGTTGTCCATTTATAATCATAGCTCTGTCCATATTGCCTTAATGACAGCCCCGCTGCACCCAGCTTCCTGAGCAGATGCATTCCTTCCCACCTTGTTCACAGAATGCTATTCTGGTTCTCGAGGGCGTGGCCCATCCTAGCCCGGTACCTGCTGGCCAAGGACCTCTCCTGTCTCACTCTGTCTTTGGAACCGACAATCTGATTGCTGCAGTGGGATTGTTTTTCTTCTCACCTTCTTTAACTTGTAGAAAACACCTTCCTACTTCTCTTGCTGTCCTGTCCATGCAAATCACCCTAGGCCATAACAGAATGATCTAGTATTCAGTTCAAGTACCATGTTTTCTTTGGTTAAAGGTAAATAAGCTTTATCAAGCTAAGGAAATTTTCTATTTTTCCTAGTTTGCTAAAAGTTGCATCTCTTTCCTAAGAATGGCATTGAATGTTAACACATTCTTTTTATGCATTTATTAAGAGGAATACAGGTCTTTTCTTCCTTAATCTACTAATGTAATACATTATATTAATAATATGTGTGATGTAGGATGGTTTTTACATTCTTCAGTTAAAGTGTAGTTGGTTTTAATACATACTTCCTTTAAATACTGTTGGGCTCTATTTGCTGATGTTTTATTTAGAATAAAAAAACCTGTTAATCCTAACAGATTTGTTAAGAAGAATGACCTCATGTGGATGTAATGTACAGTGTGGTGACTACAGTTAACAATACTGTATTGTATATTTGAAAGTTGCTAAGACAGTAGATCTTAAAAGTTTTCATCACAAGAGAAAAAGTTTTGTAACAATGTATGGTAATGGATGTTAACTAGACTTATTGTGAATCATTTTGCAATATATACAAGTATTGAATCATTATGTTTTACACCAGAAATGAATATAACGTTATATGTCAATTATATCGAAATTACAAAAAAGGATGAAGGAAAAAGAAAAAAGTAAATAAGAATGGTCCATGTAATTAATTTCCCTGTACTTTTCTTGACTGATTTCAGATTCCACATTATGTAAGATTATGGAATCTTTCCATGTTTCTATAGTCTACATT